TTGGAATATCTGGTTGAGTCCTGCCTCTGATCCTGATTCCAGCTCCCTGCTGATATGCATCCTGGGAGGCAGCTGCAGTGATGGCACAAGAAGCTGGGTCCTTACTACTCGTGTGGGAAACCTAGATTGAGTCCTTGGCTCCTGACTTTTACCTGGTCTAGCCCTGGCAGTTGTTGGCATTTGGGGAGTGAACCAGAGAATGAAATCTCTTCTCTCTATGTATGAAATAAATGATTAAAAAATAGTTCTTAATAATTTTTAGCTCCTGAGATGTGGAAGCTTTTTTTTAATTGCAGCAAAATGTAGTCTTTCATGACTCATGAAGTTTTTTATCAGATTCTTCTTTTTTTTTTTTTAATAACTTTCATTTTATTTGTAAGGCAGAGAAAAGGAAGAGAGAGAGAGAGAGAATGAGAATGAATGTCTTCCCATCCGGTGGTTTACTTCCCAAATGCCTACAATTGCTAGTGCTGGGTCAGGGCAAAACCAGGAAACTAGAACTCAATTCCAGGTATCCCATAGAGATTGCGGGGACCCATGTACTTAGACATCATCTGCATACAGGGTGTGAATAAGCAGAAAGCTTGATCAGAAGTTATGGAGCCAGGACTCAAATCAGGCATTCCAATATGGGATGCTTTGGTATCAGTTGGTGACTTAACTGCTGGGCCATATGCCTGCCCCTAATAAAGGTTGTTTTGGGTGGGTTTTGAGAACTGAAATGCCATATAATAGGATACAAAGTATGGAGTTAGGGTAGGGAGTGAGATAGATGCCAGAAACTATGATAGTCCAAGGCCGACTCAAATATAAAATTTGATGGGTTTTGGTAGCAACATATTATTTTTGACAGAATCTTTTGTCACTTATGTGTTGATTTTGTGAATAAGTAATACATATGTATGGTACTATAAGGTGTGAATATAAGTAAGTTTCCCTTAGCCCTGTCTTGGAACCATAGTAGGCCACCACCGCCATGTGCATTTATCTCATATGTTCTCCTGTTGGCTTACCCAAGTGACAGTATAATTTGTACACTTTTATATACTTTATTTTTTTCACATAAAATGTGAAAGTGATACATTGTAAATGATACGTGATTTGCTTTACCTCTAGGGCTCCATGACAATCTCTCCTAGACCCAGATCTCATCAGTGAATTGATTTATTAACTCATTATCTTAGTCGCAATAAAAAAATACAACTGATTAGGTAATTGATAAATAATAGAAGCTTATTTCTCATAGTTCTGAGAAGTTCAAAGTCAGTACACCAGCAAGTTCAGTGTATGGTGAGCACTGCTTTCTCTATTTATTCCCAAGTGTCTTGCTGCTGCATCCTCTGAAAGGGGAACACTGTGTGTCCTCAGTGCTGGAAGGGATGGACGGCATCAAGGGCTGAGTGCTGTTTTGAAACCTCTTTTATTAGTGCCTTAATCCCATTCATGAGAGTGGAGGCCTCATGACTAATCACCTTTTAAAGGACTTACTTTACTTCTTAATACTGTTGCACTGGGGCGTGAGTGGAAATATGAAATTTGAAGACATAAATGTTCAAGCCAAGGTACTCATTAACAAATGCATATTGAATACTGAGCCAGGTACAGTTCCAGGCTCTGGGAATGGAAGAATAAAAACAGATAAAAACCACCTTCTTCAAAAAGCTTATCTTCTTGGAATGACTGTGGTTATGATCAGTTATAAATAGAGGTCTTTATTATAGGCCATATGGGGGAGAAATGAATTTCTTTAGTCATGGTCAGAGGAAGCTTTAAGGAAAAAGTGGCAAATTTATCTGGATCGTAAGTGGTTGTGGTAAGTTTAGCAGTAATAATTGAGGAGAAAGTGCACTGTGGCACAAAATGTATTTACTTATTTGACTCTGTTTCAATCTTGTATATCTATTACCACTTTGAAGTTCTATTTCCAAAACTACCAGTTACTTGAAATTTTGGAAAATTTCTGAAATATTTCTGAAAATGAATTCTTCGTTTCTTAGAGATCAGTTTCAGCTGATATACTAATTCCTTTTTTTCTGTTTGTTTAGTTGAACTGGACATAAGGATTTTCATAGATTAATTTTATCTATTTATCCCTTTTAAAATTAAGATTTAATTATTTATTTGAAAGGTAGAGTGACAGAGAGGGAGAGAGACAGAAAGATCTTGCATCTGCTGGTTCACTCCCCAAATGGCTGTAATGGCAGGGGCTGTGCCAGGCTGAAGCCAGGAGCCTGAAATTCTATCAGATTCTCCTATGTGGGTGTCAGGGGCCCAAATACTTGGGCCATCACTTGCTGCCTTCCCAGGCTCATTAGCAGGAACTTGGATCTGAAGCAGAGCAGCTGGAAATTGAGCCAGCATTCCAAAATGAGATGGTGGCAATGCAAGCCCATGGACCACAATGCTGAGTCTTGTCTTTTTTTTTTTGAAATTGTTGCGAGAGTTTTCTTGTTTTGCCTTTTTCATATGATTTTAAATGTGTATGTTATAATTAACTATTATATCTTCAATATCCTTATGTGCTTACAATAAGGGTTCTCAACCTTGGGCAAGTATACTTGAATTATTTGGAGAGCTTAGCTTTAAAAATGCTAATGGCTGGGTCCCACCTTGTGTTGGGATACAGTCTGGGCACCAGGATTTTCAAGGGCTCCTCAAATGATTCTACTTTGAAGACAAGGTAGAGAAGACACTGGCTTAAAGTATTCTTAAAGGACCTGGAACATGATTTCTGATTTTGAAAAGCAGGTAACTATGGCTTAAATGAGTGACATGATAAATCTAAAAATCTCTTGCTTAGCATAAAATGAAATAATTAGGATTGGGATAGTAGAATGAAGTCTTTGAGTTTGTTAAAGTACTTTTACCAACCATTCAGTAAAACGTATATGTGTATAGAATAATTCTATGGGCTCTGTAAGTTCTCCTTTGCATGAGGAGAGGGATGAAAATATATAGATTAAAGTTGTTTGCCTCATCCTTTAATTCAGAAATGAACAAGTCGGTAATTAGGGCCTGGTGTACTTAGGCAAACATTGTTTTCTAACTCTTGTTGACTTTGTCACCTACTTTCAATGTACTGTTACTGTAAAAGGGACCTTTGTTTACTCCAGTAACAAGATGTTGGACGAGAATTTATAAACACAAGTGGTTGCCTCCCTGAGGTATCAGAGGCCCTCCAGAAGGAAATCGAATGGAATTCAATCTGCTGAAAAGTGGTCCAGTCTATTTCCAGATTGGAATTAGGAATTATAATCCATTTAAAAATGTTTACTGTAATTTCACTGTTTGAAGTTTAGTGAATTCCCAAAACACCACCATAAGATACAGTCTGTACTGTAACAGAATGGAAAACTTCTTGAATGTCTATATATCTTATTAACAAGGTGGCTGAAAACAGTGAGATTTAATGAATAGAGAGAGTCTAGTTTTTATATTTCTAGGCTGTGGGTCCTTGATTTATTTAACTTATCTATCCTTAGTTTTCATATTTGGAACATGGGGTAAGAGGATACCTAGTTTCAAGGTTTGTTCATGAGGTAAACTATTTCAAATGGTTCTTACAGTGCATGTCCACAGTTGGACTATAATAAGTAATATTTCTCATCTTTTTTTTTTTAAAGATTTTTTTATTTGAAAGGCAGAGTTACAGAGGGGCACAGGCAGAAGCAGAGAGAGAGAGTTCTTCCATCCACTGATTCACTCCCCAAATGGCTGCAATGGCTAGAGCTGGGCCGATGTAAAGCCAGGAGCTTCTTCCAGGTCTCCCACATGGATGCAGGGACCCAAGTATTTGAGCCATTTTCTACTGCTTTCCCAGGCCATCGGAGAGAGCTGGATCAGAAATGGAGCAGCCAGGTCTTAAACTGTCACCCATATGGGATGCCAGCACTATAGACAGTGGCTTTACCTACTAGGCCACAGCGCCGGCCCTGACCCCAGTATTTCTCAGTTTTAATATTGAGTTTTATGAGAAAATTACTCTAGTAAAAATGGTACCTGAGATCAAATAAAGCTCTAAGATTTCTTTAATAATGGATCTTATTAATAATAATGAATATTGAGGATGAATAGGAGTCATAATTTGTGTAGCTGAATTTCTGATACACATTCTGATAACCCCCTGAAAACAGTGTTGATATCATACCTTTGTTTATCATAATGAGCTTTATAATTTTTATTGTGTTTAGAGACATTTTACAAGAACTGAAAGATTCTTATAATATGAATGGGAAATTACAAAGTTGATAGTGTGGACTGGACAGTGTAAGATATTCAGAGTATAAATACCTAGGTTCATACGTACTTGTACAGTGAAAAATATAAGCAAAGTATAATACAGACCGTGATGAGATGTAGCCAAAGCAAATTAGTTCATTCATAAATACATGTTTATTGTACTCCTCTGTATGTCCAAGCAGGATTGTTGTGCCTATGAATCTTCCCATTTTCTGCCCTTCAAAGTTGTTCTCGTTTTTTTTTTTTTTTTTAATGGCACAAGTCAAGTGTGGCCTACTTTATGGAGACCTTCCCTCTACCCATTAAAAAGGAATCACTTGTGTGCATTCTCTGGACACGCGATCTGTACCTTGGCACTCCATTCACAGTCTCATATTTAAAGCAGTGCTGCTGCTCTGTTTTAGGGACTGGCTTGAAAGGTACTGGGGGAGGGGCGTCTGACATCAGAAGGTCCTCAGTTTAATCTTCACTCTGTCACTCCCTGTAAAGACAGGCACCATATTGTCCTTTCTGAGCTTAATGTAAATGTAAATATGATGCATGACTTAATAAAATTTTCTCCCCAAGACTAAATGCTCTTTCAGGACAAGGAACCATCACTTAATAGTTAAAAAGTTTGATAAATTGATTAAAAGGTATCATTGAGGTAACATATTTAGCTTTTTTGTTTTTTGGCTTTTAAAAATAATAGTATTGGGATATATCAAAAAAATTCCATGAAAGTTGTTTTCTAAATGACTTTGTTTTCAAAATCCCTACAGGTACTTTCTTATCCCGTAACTTCAGTGTCTTGAAATCTGAGGATTCCACCAAGATAATATGATAAGAACTTTCAGTGGTTTGGGGCCACATCCTACTTAGGCTAATGTGGGACTTTGCTTTCCTGAGAAACTAGTACAGCAGCACACACTGCTTGCTAATTGGATAGGCAGTCATGCCATCACTGCCTCAAGATGGAGGTAAGCAAATGTAGCCATGTTACGAAATATGAATGTGTTCTAGATCAGCACTGCTAACTTAAAAAAAAAAAAGTGTTAACAACCTAGATAGGACTTCTAAAATATGATTTTACTTTGTTTTGGAGGGGGGCATTTGTGTTCCCGGATGTGGATTTTTTGTTATTTTAGTGATGTTTGGTTGTTTTACATTTCTTTTAAAGTTATTCAGGGGTCCTCTCCCTTGGATCTGAATACAGAATTACCTTATCAAAGCACAATGAAAAGGAAAGTCGGAAAGAAGAAAAAGAAGGGGATCATCACAGCAAATGTTGCTGGGACGAAGTTTGAAATTGGTAGGTCTCCTGAGAAGCCCGGGACTTTTGTAACTGTGGGAAAAGCTGGTCTGGTGTTGAAAACAGTGTAGCATTTCAGAGAACTACCTTTTAAAGCCTTCTATAGATTGTGACATAGTAGAGGGATTCCTTTTACGTGCTGTGGAAGGTGCTACGCTTCAAAAGATGCCAATCGCTTTCCAAAATTTCAGTTCCAACAAACATGTGATTAAATTATTTAGTTGAGAAACAAAAAGGTTAAATACCTGACATTGTATTTTTCTTTGAAGTCCAACGTTGTCATCTAGCTGAGCTTTGACTCACATAGTAAAAAGAATTTGTCTATAGCCAACCTTACATATTCAATTTAATCTTTTCCACTGTTCTTGTAAACCCTGGACGTTCCCAGCCTCACCTGTTTGCATAAGCACAGATACCTCAGTTCAGGTGGCTCCTTTTACTCCCTTCCTCCATAACTGCCGGGAGTTCCATTTATCTCAGCAAGCTCTTCCCAGTTACTTCTGAGAGGCCCTGGATAATGTGCATCCTAGAACCCAGGGCTGCTCCTGGGCTGCTACTCTGATTTACCGCTTGGGAGGCAGCTAAAGGGCCGTGCTGCCGCTGCTTTCGCCCTCTCTGTGAGCTCTGGGTAGGTAGCATGGCAGCTGCTGAGCTCTCGGGATGCCGAGGGTACATGCCAGCCTGCGCAGATGAGAGAACGGCCCTTTCCCGACTGTTTGGTTTGTACATTCTCAGTGGGGACTCCTTACAACCCCAGATAACACCGAGTCTCTCATTGAAACAGTAAATTCCACACACACTCCTCTCCGGGCTCCCAACTGCACCCTGTCTCAGCCCCTTTCTTTTATGCCTGCTTTCCAGATACTGCTGCATAAAAGGTGCTTTCTTTCCCCCACCAACAATAATCGAGAGCTTCTAGGTATATGGTTATCAGTTCTGTACTTGATCTAAGTTGTTCACACAAATGATAGCATTTCTCCTTATCCTCATATGTAGGGTGCTAGTAAAAAGAAAACATTGTAAGAACACTGCTATATCATTCTGGTAAGACCCGGAATTCTGTTGGAATCCCAAAACTAACCTAAGTATTTGGCTTATTCTATCCTGTTGGAACCCCAAAACTTGAAATTCATTGGAAGAAAAAATCAATATGTTAACCGTGAAAATGTGAATGTGTTAATTGTGAATATGTAGATGGTTTGTACTACGCTTTCCTCTGAACATAAACTTTCTCAGTAAGATTAGAAGGTTGGGTGGACAGGAAGACCAGTGCTCACATCTCTCCTGTGCATTCTGCCTTGTTATTTCATATTCTGGACAAACTTAAATGACTTGGTTTTGGGTGCTAAAAATAATTCGAACTACAGAGGTAGAAAGTATAGCTTAGATCTGATGACCAGGAGCTATTTTTACCTTTGCTGCTTTTTTTTTTTTTTTTTTTTAAACTTAGCTCATCATCACAAAGAAGCCATAAAAGAACCTTTTCCTGAATAGAGGTGTTGTCTCAGCTTTGTGTGTGTTCTCACTGTGCAAAAAACAATCACTAAACCCTCTGGCAGTTTTGTGTACCTGTGAAATCTGAGAAGATTGAAGCTAAGGATTTTGGGAGTAACCTAAAAACAATTCTCAGTTCTACTGAGTATAATTTGTCTCAAGGGAAAAATAACTGTTATAAGATTATATTATAACCATTGGATGTTTTGTAAATTAAATGATGTGAACTTTATGTGTGTGTGTGTGTGTGTGTATATATATACAAAAATATACTTATGAGAAATGTTTCACACTGAATATGTTTCAGAAGTATTTTAATTCTGGCTTCACTATTTGCAGTTCGTTTAGTAATAGATGAAATGGGATTTATGAAAACTCCAGATGAAGATGAAACGAGTAACCTTATATGGTGTGACTCTGCTGTCCAGCAGGAGAAGATTGCAGAGCTGCAGAACTATCAGGTGGGAAATTAATCATGACCATTTATGGGTATGATGAAAATACTTTAATCATAATTTCCTTTAGAGGAGTTCTTAATATGTTGACTGATATGTTTCGGTTCTGACTCACTTGCCTGTTTTGTTCCTATCCAATTGCATTGACTTAGTTTGAAGGCTACATCCTTTTCAAATTTAACTTTGAACCTCTTTCAATCTTTAAGGAAGAACACACAGGAGAAACCTATTCCTGAGATGCTGCTTTGCATTGCACTTAGACATGTGTGATGTGGAATAGATTGCATAGGGAGATCAGGATGTGGAAATGGGTGGTAATGTCAGCTATATGTTGTCATCTGGCTTCATTCTTTTATTTCTAGAATGTATCAAACATATTCAGAAGAAAATGGACATCAAACTAAAAAAAACAAAAACAAGGAATTTTGGACCATTGACATTTTGTGTAGATGTTATCTATTAATTTAGAGGGCAATACAAAAATTATCCATAAGGAGCAAAAACTGTCTCCATTTTCACTGATTTTTTTCTATACTGCCTAACAGTATTTATATGGTAAATATAGAATATAAAAAATAATTCGGATTGAATTACCACCTACTCAACACAGAAAATTGTAACTTTACCAACTAAATACACTTTTTTTTTGATTTCTTTAAAATTTTGCAATTTTATTCTCTGATTCACAGATTCTTTAATTATACAAATTCATTGTAAATCATTTAATTTTAAATATTTTACATTACTAATTGCCATGCTGCTAAAACATAAAACTCAGAAGATGGACCTAACTGTATTATAGCATAAGTGAATATATTCATTAAATTAATGAGATATTAATATTTACTTTTTTTATTTTCCAGAGGATCAACCATTTTCCAGGAATGGGGGAGATCTGTAGGAAGGATTTCTTAGCAAGAAATATGACCAAGTAATCTTCATTTTCTTGTAATAGTGATGATGTTTAAAATTTATGCTGTGGATATTATAGTGCCATCTTTCACAAAGTTACATTGATTCGAGATGTTACTTAGATGGTTAGATGGAAGAGAGAATTTTAGAGCTAGAAGTTTCTTAAAAGTTTCCTGGTTGTAGTCTTTTAGTTTGCAGAGGAGAGAACTAAGGGTCTGAGAAGTGCTTATCTTGGAATATTAAGTTACTAGTGGAGCTGAGTCAGAATCCCAGGACTCTTTTTCCTGCAACTTGGCCTTCTCTGAGTAGCACACGTTTTTCTTTTAAACATAAGAAGTTGTCCTTATGTGATATTCAACAGAAACTAGTTTATTTTTGGTTAAACCTTGCAGGAACTATTTTTTTTTGCATTATATGTGTGTTCCTTATGTGTACTTATGTTGGTTATTGAATGTCTAGTATACACCAGGCACTGTATTAGGTGCATGCATATATACACATACAACTAGACACATGTGTGTGTGCTTACCCAGGGACATATGTGCACATAGGTTTATTTCTGAGATCAATGTTTAGAGCAGTTATTTACTTCCATGGGAGACACTTAATAGATAATGAAGTGTTTTAGTGAAAGAACTGCAAAATTGTTATTAAGTTTATATTTTTGTTCATTAGTGTTTTTTTAAGAATTTTTTTTTATTTGAGAGGTAGAGTTACAGAAAGATGGGGAGACTGAGAGAAAGATCTTCCATTGGCTGGTTCAGCCCCCAAATGGCTGCAATGGCTGGAGCTGGGGGCCAGGAGCTTCTTTTGGGTCTCCTTTGTAGGTACAAGGGTCCAAGCACATGGGCCATCTTTCACTGCTTTCCCAGGCCATAGCAGAGAGCTGGATTGAAAAGGAACAGCCGGGACTCGAACCGGCGGCCATATGGGATGCCAGCACTGCAGGCTGAGGCTTCGCCCACTACACCACAGTGCAGGCCCCTTGTGTTTTTGTTTTTAAGAAAGTTGTAGCTTAACTTAAGAAAGAGACTTAAAAAATATCGGGACTCTAGTTAGTTTAATAAAGTTGTATTTGTGCCATGGACCACTTCGGGTTTTTTCCTCTCTTGGAAGCCCCCCTGCATGCCACTCTGGCTGGAGGTCTTTGACTCTAATAAATCTTGCTTTTTAAATCTCAAAAAAAGATAAAAAAGCAATAGTACTATTTCTATGCAGAAGTTAATAATTATGCATCTACTCATACAACAAATATTTTTCTATGTCTATTCTGTGCCCTAGAGACTGCAAATTTTTATGTCAATGGGATAAATAAGAACTAGTTTCTGCTTGTGTCTCCCAGTAGTAAGGGAGGAATGTAAAGTTGCATAAGACCATTTGATGATGCCCCATTAGAGGTGGGGTCAGTGTGCAGTAGAGACCAACCTGGTTGAGGAGATCATTTTTTGCAGTTGAGAGTTAAAGTGCAAAATGGATACTGAAAAGTGTACAAGAGCTTACTCTTGGAGAAGAGGGTGAGAAGACTAGGCAGAGACAACAGTAGAGGGAAATGTATGGAGTCTTGAATGTATGGAGTGTTTGGGGGATCTTTAAGCATTTTCTTTGGTTGTACAGGATGTTAGGAGGCTCAACTTCAGTTGATTCTGGAGGTATGTGCAAAGGCCAGTCTTTGTATGCCATGTTGTTAAAATTCATTTCAGCCATCTCTTTAGTCAACAAGTTATTTTTGTCCTGAGAGAAATGGGAAGTTACCAAATGAGTTTTAGCAGGGAAATAATGTTTTAGGAAACCAGAAAACCATGGTGGCAGTTGATGAAAACAGAACTATAGGGAGAATGCCCTGTGAGGTTAAAAAATGACGAGCATCTAATAAACCAAAAGTGTGTTAGGAGAAATGGGAAAGGAGACTATGTCTGAAGCATAGCCATTGAATACTGCTCTATTGGAAGAATTAAAGACAGGGAGGTCAAACATGTCCAATATGACTCCTAGGATTCTGGTTATGATATTATGTTGGTATTTCGTTAACAATTGACTACAAGAAGAATGGACTGAGAGGAAAGGGAGTTACTTCTGTAAAGTTTTGAGCCTGTGTTTCATTTGTCATGTAACAAACATTTTATTAAGGCAAGTATTACTGTTTACCAGCGCTGGGCCTGGACACATGAGTTTATCAAAAGCAGACTTGGGGTTCTTACAACATCCACCTGCAACTGTGATGTGTGCTGTGAAGTAGAGACACATAGTTCTACATTGGCGAGTCATAAAGAAAGTTGGTCTAGTTAGGGAGGTTTGGGGGAGTTCCCCTGATGCAGTGATGCAGAAACTAAACCAGAACCATCGAAGCAGCAAGGCTAGCATGAGCACAAGGTTATGTGGTGGAAGAAAGCATAAATAGTAAAGATTCTGAATAGTGTCAAGTGCAGCTGCAGTGCGGATGGATGGATGGGGAGCAGGGGAGAGATTAGCTGGAGGGGGATGCTCAGAATTACAGCTTTTATCTTACAAACCACAGGGGAGCTGGGGGTGGAGGAGACTGAGGGCAGTGGTAATACGGCCAGATGTGCGTTTTGAAAAGACCATTCTGGCTGCTTTGTGGAAAATAGGATTCCGTATTGTTGGATGAGATAAGAGGGATAAAATTTAAAAATGTAGATAAGCAGTTCTCATGGAGTCCCTGAATTTCTCCTCAAGAAAAATTATTTTCTATTAGATAAAAAGTTAGGACTTTGTAGTATAAAAATAAATGTAACTAATTTACCTACTTAATATTATTTAGTAAACTCAAGACAGAGCCAAGAGCAGAGGTTATCCCAAATCTGCAAATTCCTAAGTAAAACTGCATGTCTCTTTTGAACTAGATTATCTGAACAGAATAAGGTGTTTCATTTCAATAATTATGCGTAGATTTTTTTCCCAGTATAAATGTAGAAGAATGATATAACTCATATATACCACAGATAGTTTTTGACATGTTTTTCTAATTAAAGCTATAATTTGATCTAATTTCATGTCATTGTTAAATATATTATACATACATTTAAAGGTGTTGGAAACAAAAGCCTGGACTGTTAGCATTCTTCCTCAAGTTTTTTTTTTTCTTTTTGATGTGGTATGTAATTTTAAAACTAGTCCATATTAGCCTATTTTGTACTGAGATTTAACTTATTGGCTTAATCTGGATTTTCAGATGGAGTTGGTAATTATTTCAGATGGAGTTGGTAATGTAACTTTCTTACAGGATTCTCTTAAAAGAGCACTTAAATTATAATAATCAATTGTGAAAGCCAAGTGGTTGATGTATTCCATGCTCTGGACTTAGAATTCTATGCAAACTATATACTATGGATCCATTTTGGTTTTTACTACTTCATTTGGGGATAATACTTTCCCATCTATAAAAGACTTACATACATTTAGAAAAAAAGTTTTTTTTCAAACATTTTTAATAAATAGTATTTAAAAATCTTTCTCATTATTTTTTCCTGGGAATTTATAAGTACAAAATAGTTTTGATTAATCAAAAGTCAATGTTTTATACCCAGTATTATCCCTACACTGTATTTCAAATAGGCAACCTAATTTGCAGCTAATACAAAAAAAAATCGGGGCATATATTGTGGCTATAAAAAGCACACACAGAAGTGGTTCACATAAACAAACCTCTGAGTCAGAGGCTTTCAGTGTGGTTTTCTCAGAAATGTAAACTCTAAAATTAAACAGTGACATTAAAGGCAATCAAAAACTGCTTCCTTTAGGTGACCAGAAGACTCAAAATCACCGTTAAAGAAGCAAAGTAAATGGCTGTTGGCCTTAAAATATTCCCTACTCTCTACCCTCATCCCTGAGGCAGAGTTAATGACTCCTTCTATATGGTATCATGCCTTAAAAGCCCATTAGTATACCTATTACATTCTTTGTAATTAACAGCCTATCAATAAATTCCTTGGGGGTGGAGACCATACTAATTTATCTTGATATCCCCAATGCCTGGCACATCATGCTTGCTCAAATAAATGTTTGATGCACAGTCTAGGGCAGAGGTTCCTGTCTATGTTTTTCAGTGATGTATGGCAGGTCTAGAATAGTGTCTAGCACATTGTTGGTGTCACTGAGGGAATCAATAAATGAATGTATAAGTGAAGGAATGGAGGGAATATAAATCTCTGTGGTAAATATCACTAGCATGAGAAAAGAAAATTTACAAAAATTTCAATAGAAATTATTTTTTATGTTGTCTCAAATTTACAGAATGATCAAGTCTCGGCCTCTGGATTATACCTTTATTCCCCGAACATGGATCTTCCCTGCTGAATATACTCAGTTCCAGAACTATGTGAAAGAATTGAAGAAAAAACGGAAGCAGAAAACTTTTATAGTAAAACCAGCTAATGGTGCAATGGGTCATGGGTAGGTTTGTTTTTACCTGCAATATATAAAAAATTTAAAAATTTTGAGGAAAAGAATAAATGTGTGTAATTACCCATGGATGTGTATCAATATGAAAAAAATAATAAAACAGCTATCTATTACTTTTCTGTAAGTAAACACTTAGTAGGACTCATACTTTTTACCTCTACCATAGGCTTCAGTAAGTAATTGAAGTTACAAAAGTGAAAATGAAATCAGTAGGTTGCAAGAGTTTAATAGGAGACAAGACTTTAATAGGTTGTAAGCCTTCAATAGGAGATAACAAAATAGATAAAAACAGTTGTTTACTGATTTTTTAAATAAGCTTAAGTGTAAAATCAGTTGCTACTGTGAGCTAAACTGACTTAGAAAAGTGAAAAGAAATTTACTTTTTCCGTTGTTAGAAGTCTTGATGCAAAATATATTTCTTCTTTGCTTTCTAAATAAGTTTTCTCTTTAGGTAGCCATGGTAATTGGATTAAAGATGAGTAGCACACATTTAAAGTTGAAGTGCCAAGAACTAGCTGAGAATAGAGTATGCAACCCATATTCTTTCCTTTGCTTACTTTAGTTTCCTGCAGTGTACTTTTTCAAAGAAAAAGACTGCTTTTTCATAAAATACACTTGAGTAATTTTAAGTTTTTGATTTAGAATATTATGGGAAAAACTATTTGGAAATGTAGTTATTAGGTAAATTATTAGTTATAGTTTCCTTTTCACTTTTAATCATAGCTTAATTCAATCATGTGTCATTCTAATATTTAAAATTTTATTTATTTGTATTTATTTGAAAGGCAGAGATACAGACACAGAGAGATCTTCCACCTACTGGTTCACTCTCCAAATACCTGCAACAGCTAGGGTTCAGCCAGAAGCTTGAAACTCAGTCTGGGTCTCCTGCATAGATGGCAGGGACCCAAATACTTGAGCCATCACCTGCTACCTCCCAAATGCAAATCTAGAACTCAAACCTTGGCATTTCAATATGGAACATGGACATCTTAAGTGCTGCATCAATGCCTACCCCCATACATTATTTTTTAAATGTAATCTGGTAATTTTAAAATAAATAGTCTCTGGTGTTAGTGGAAATCTTGTATCAGTTGCTTAGGGTTAAAATGGCTCCTTGGATATTAGTATAAGAGGAAAATTTGTGGGTAGGGGGACAACTGAATTTCACATTTTTTTCTCAATTTTAGTGTTTTTTTTTTGAGAAAAAAAAATTGAGTAACTAAGTGTATTTACATTTGGTATTAGTATATTATAAGTAACTAATAATCTTCTAGTTTATTTTAATGACAACATTTTAAAAAGTAGTTGGGAAAGCAGATAATTGAAAGGGTATTCTGTGTTACTGGGTTTCGTTCATGTAATACAATAGTACCTAGGTAAAGGTTACTTCCCTCTTCTGTTGAGTATATCTATTTCCTAGCTAAACCTTTATCTAATTGTTTTACAAAGTAAAGTACTGAACATTACAACTATTATTGTTCAATTAGTTCTCCCTTCAATTCTGTTCATTTGCACTGGTTTTTTGTCATTACATATGATATCTTTGTCATAATTTTTTTTATCTTAAAGTCTGTTTTGTCTAGCACTAGTATAGCCAACTCTAGGTTACTATTTATTTGCAATATCTTCAATCCCTTTAATTTTACCTACTTGAGTCTGATTCTGTAGGGACTTTCTTATACACTACATACCATTGGACCACTAAATTTTATTTATTCCCAGAGCAGACACACACACACACACACAGCTGCAGGGAGGGTTGCTACCATCTGCTGGTTCATTCCTCAAAGCCTACAATGGCTGGGGCTGGGGCAGGGCAGAAGCTGGGATCCAGGAACTCTATTCAGGTCTCCCACAGTGGGTAGCAGGAAACCAATGACTGCTTCCTCCCAGGGTTCGAATTAGCCAGAAGATGGAGCAGGGCCCAGGGCCAGGTATTGAACTCAGGTACTCCAGTGTGAGATATGGGCATCTTAACTGATACCTTGACTGCTAGACCAAATGCCTGCCCCAATCATTTTTGTTTTATTTTATTTATTTTTTTTTTTTTGACAGGCAGAGTGGACAGTGAGAGAGAGAGACAGAGAGAAAGGTCTTCCTTTGCCGTTGGTTCACCCTCCAATGGCCGCCGCGGCCGGCGCGCTGCGACCGGCGCACCGCGCTGATCCGATGGCAGGAGCCAGGAGCCAGGTGCTTTTCCTGGTCTCCCATGGGGTGCAGGGCCCAAGCACCTGGGCCATCCTCCACTGCACTCCCTGGCCACAGCAGAGAGCTGGCCTGGAAGAGGGGCAACCGGGACAGAATCCGGCGCCCCGACCGGGACTAGAACCCGGTGTGCCGGCGCCGCTAGGCGGAGGATTAGCCTAGTGAGCCGCGGCGCCGGCCCATTTTTGTTTTATTTTTCCATTATGGAAAGCCCTGCCTTTTGTTGGAGAGTTAATCTAGTGCTATTTATACTTAGTGTAATTTCTGAAAGAAAAAGGATTGGTTTACTTCTGCCATTTTATAATTTGTTTCATGTATGTTCATATAGCTTTTGTTCTTTAATTGCTCCATTACTATACTGTTTTGTTTTATTTTCTTGTGTACCTTTAAAATTCTGTCATTTTTTTACTGTACATTTTTTAAAAAGAGTTATTTATTGAGTTACAGAGGTTGTCCCTGTGGCATAGCAGGTAAAGCCACCGCCCGAAATGCTGGTATCCCATTCTAGCTGGGGTGAGGTGGTTTTGATTTGCATTTCCTTGATGGCTAGTGATCCTGAGCATTTTTTCCAGTATCTGCTGGCCAGTTGAATTTCCTCTCTTGAAAAATGCCTGTTCAAGTCCTTTGTCCAATTTTTAACTGGATTGTTTGTTTTGTTGTTTTTGATCTTGACCTCTTTATAGATTCTGGAGATTAATCCTTTATCAGTTGCATAGTTTGCAAGTGTTTCCCCCAATTCTGTCGGTTGCCTCTTGTGGAGTGTTTCTTTTGCAGTGCAGAAGCTTCTCAGCTTGATGTAATCCCATTTGTCAATTTCGTCATTGATTGCCTGTGCTTCTGATTTCTTTTTCAAGAAATCTTTGACTATGCCAGTGTCTTACAGAGTTTCCCCAGTGTTCTCTAGTAATTTGATGGCATTGAGATTTAGGTCTTTGATCCATGTTGAGTGGATTTTTGTGTAAGGTGTAATGTCTTGTTTCATACCTCTGCATGCTGAGATATAGTTTTTCCAGCATATTTTGTTGAAGTGAGTGTTTTTGCTTCAGGGATTGATTTTAGCTCCTTTGTCAAAGATTAGTTGGTTGATTTCTGTTTCTATTCTGTTCCACTGGTCAAGAGGCATTTTTTTTTTTTTTTTTTTTTGGCCAGGACCAGGATTTTTTGATTATAACTTCCCTGTAGTATGTCTTGAAATCTGGTATTGTGATGCCTCCAACTTTGTTTTTGTTGTTTAAGATTTCTTTAGCTATTCAGGGTCTATTTTGTTTCACTCAGTGCTTTGTACATAGTTTCTTTTTTTTTTTTTCTTCCCTTTTCCTCTCTGAATAGATTTTAAATAGTTGATTATCCTAGTAAGACCCAAGTCTAGGCTTCCTCAGGGACAGTTTCTATTAATTGATGCTTTCCCTATATGTTTGTTATACTTTATTTTTCTTTCATATGCCTCATAATTGTTTGTTGAAGTGTGGACATTTGAGTATTGTGATGCAGCAATTTTGGAACCCAGACTTCTGCTCCCCACCCCTGCCACAGTTTGTTATTGTTGATTGTAGTACTTTTCGTTTAGTTACCTCTCAACTGATTTTATAAATTCTGTATTCTTTGCTTTGTATGGCCATTGAAGTTGCTGTTCTTTCATGGTTAGCTAGTAATTGGGCCGAGATTCCCTTAAATAATTGGAATAAAATAAATTGTGACCAAAAATATCTCACAATCTTCACAGAGGAGTTGTGTGTATTGTGCAGGCTGCTTACAACACTACCTTACCCCTTACTTCCTGCTTGTGCAGTCTGATGGTTGACCAGAGAGCTTAGGGTCTTCTTGGGTCAGTTCTGAGCATGCACCCTGCCTTGGGCACACAAGTGACCTTTTAGATTCCCCCAACTATGTCTGAGGTTTTTGAAGTCCCTAGATATTCATTTCCTAGCCTTTCCTCCCAATATCTATAGTTAATCTACTATTTTCCCAGCTGTTAATTGTTGTCCTAGAAAGCAGGAACTAACACATTTACTTTTAAATGTTTTTAACAATTTTACCTCAAACTAGTTGCCTCAGCACTGGTGGAGTTCTGAGTTAGGCTAGATAAAAGGAAACCTTTTGGGGTCTTCCAGGGAATCCCAGACAGGTCAAAACAAACCACCACCAGAATAAGGTTCATTTCTCCCTTTCAAGGACCAGTACCTGTTTGTGCTAAGAATGTGGGCTGATTTTCAATGCCACTGCTGAATTGGTAGTAGGTAACAGGACTACAACAAGTAAAATGCCATAAAACTGTTTTACACAGATTTAGCTGTCTTTTTTGATTAAGATTTTTTGGTTGATGCCAGCTTTTAGTTTCTGGGGTTCCAAAAATTGATTCTGACAATTGAAAAAATATGTATTTGTTTTTATTTGAGAGAGACTCAGAGACACACAACGCGTGCTCACACACACACACACACACACACACGTCTCATCAGCTGCTTCATTACCCAAGTGTCCATCACTGGTCAGTACTGGGCTGGACCGAAGCTGGAAGGGATTCACTCAGTTTAGGTGTCCCATATGGGTTGCCTGGAACCAACTACTTGAGCCATCACCTGTTGTCTCCCAGAATTTGCATTGGTGGGAAGGTAGAATGGGGAGCCAGAACTAGGACTTGAACCCAGACATTTTGATAAAGTATGTGGATGTCTCACTTGGTGTTTTAACTGGTAGACCAAACACCGCCCCATTCTGACAGTTGTTTTAACTATTCATTGCTTTTGTGGAGGGACAGACTCTTGGCGCTCTACCCCACTATTTTCCATGTGAATATGTCTCTAGCTTTAAAAACATTTCTCCCTCTTATCAAATTATTCTTTTTATTTTTTTTCTTTAAACTTAGGATATCTTTAATAAGAAATGGTGACAAACTTCCATCTCAGGATCATTTGATTGTGCAAGAATATATTGAAAAGCCTTTCCTAATGGAAGGTTACAAGTTTGATTTACGGATATATATTCTGATAACATCATGTGATCCATTAAAAATATTTCTCTACCATGATGGGCTTGTACGCATGGGGACAGAGAAGTATATCCCACCTAATGAGTCCAATTTGGTAAGTGATACAGTTAGAATTTATGTTTTCATTTTTTTAAACATGTACTTAAAATTACTTGTTTTTTTCAGTGGCAAAGAGAGATAGAGGTAGAGGTAGAGGTAGAGGTAGAGGTAGAGGTAGAGGTAGAGAGAGAGAGAGAGAGAGAGAGAGAATGTATACTGCCATCTGCTGGTTCCCTGTCCAAAGGCTCATTGAAGCCAGGGCTGGGGAAGTCAATTCCGATGTCAACATAGATGGCAGGAACCACTAGGTCTGCATTAGTAGGAAGCTGAAGTCAGAGTAGGGGCCAGGACAGAACCCAGGCTCTTTGATGTGGGAAATAGGCATCCTAACCAACATGTTAACTGCTAATTCAAACACCTACCCCAGCATGTACTTTTTAAAACACACATTATATGTATAAAAAATGTGTGGATCAATGTACCTCTTCTCAGGATTTTAAGATCTTGAAGAATCATGCTTAAGCAAGACTGCTTCTAACTTATAAGCAGTCTTGTGAAAATTAGAAAAGAATGTGTTTTCTCTAGACGGGCTAATTAGGTAAAAGTAACATTTGAGTATAAGTGCTTTGAGCCAGCCTGAGTTTCAGGGCACACATTTGTATGCAATGGCCCTAAATAGAAATGGCTGTAATATAAATCAAAGTAATATTCCATAGAGATACATGGATACATGGTTATGGGTTGAAGGGAGAGTTTGTGTTCACCTCCTCCCCATGAAGGGTGTAGCATTGCAACAGGCTTTGTATAAAAGTGGTCTTTGAACCTGCTGAATGTAGGAGAAAGTACATGAAACAGAAAAAGCAAAAGTTACTAGAAAGTAGAGCTATTCATTTTTGTTGAAATAGAAGTAAGTTTGTAAAATTTTAATTGAGAAAATGTGAAGTTGAGACTCAATAAGCCATTTCAGTATACATTTTAAAATCTATTATATGGAGATTTTATAGCACTTTTTCTATTAATAGTTTCTTTGTGAAGCCATAGTGTATTCATGAAAATCATAACTAACCTCACAAAAATCACAAAATATAACTTGTAGTTTATGAAAGTCAAGTTATGTTTGTTATCAGTACTTGGAAATTTAATCAACATTTAATCCTACTTTTAAATCTACTAATTATAGTAAAATTTTACCTAATTATTGTTTCTAATTGTCAAAGGCCTGGTGACTGTTTTTCCCTCAATATTCTATACACAACTAACTCCATTAAGAATGACTGTATTTTCAATATTAAATACTGACTGGATCATAAATGTTGATATTTTCAATAAATTGAAAAATGTTATATACTTGGCAATGGAAGAAGCAGGGAACCGTCAAGCTTATAGGAAAGAAAGTTAAAAGAAACATTTCATAAGGCATGGATATAACCAGTCACCAAGTTAAACTCTACTATGTTCTAGGCATTGTGCTGGTTTTGGAAAAATAGTGACCAAGACAGATACAGTGGTTGACCTCATGGAAGCAAGTCTAGTGGGGAAACAGGAAGTAAAATAAGCAAATATAATACCTAGTGGTAAGTGTGACGGTCTGAGAAACTGAAGGTGCCATGGCCCTGCAAAACTGGGGCACTTAACCCAGCTGGAGACAAACAAGGGTTAGAGAAGGCGTTCCCTTGTGAACTGGAATCTGAATGTGGGTTAGGTAGCCAGGTTGGGGGAGCTCTAGGCAGATGGCCCTGTAGGAGGCAGAGAGTGTGGAATTCCTGGGAAAGTAGACACATTCAGTTTGGCTCCAGTGTAGCCTGAGAAGCTGTGGCTGTTCAGAGATGAGGCTGGAGCGTCCTGGGAGTCAGGCCGTGCAAGGCTTTGCAGGCCACGTTAGGGGTTTGAAAATTTAACGTAAGGTGGAAGGAAGCCCTGAAAGATCCTGAACAGAGGAATGTGGTTTATGTTTTTAAAAGCTCACCTGTGTATGTGGTGGGCAATGTGAGGGGAAGGTGGAGATAGGTACAAAAACCCAGAGCAAGGCAGACGTGAAGCTGTCTGACCACATGTGACAGAAGAAAGTGTTAGACAGGGATAAATAGCATTTAGGTTAGATGATGAATAAGAACATGGACCTCTGAAATATTTAAGATAATATGGGTGAAATTGCTATAAAGTGGTGACAGGCTAGATTTGTGGAGAAATCCAGGATAAAGCTCAGATTTGTGGTATGGACCATTATTCTCTGTGAGACAGTAACACAGAAGCTATTAAAGGCTTTGTGGAAAGCTGACACATTTGGTTTAAATGCCTGAGTGCCCTCCAGATGGATCCATGTTCTGCAGGTATTTGGATATAGAGAATAAGTTTGAAGTTTGGAGGAGAGATCTGAGCTATGGGCATAATTTGGGACTTGTCAGCTAACAGATTATAGTTAAAATAATTGGATCAGGTAAGAATGGATTATGTATATTCAAGGCAGCTGTGATTGTTTGGTAGTATTAAGAAGGGTCAGCTCTAGAGGAGCCCTTTTAGGTGGTAAAGTGCTTCATTCTGATCTCTAAATTATGTTTGTAATTTGCTGAAGTACACTGGTTTAGAAAGTCATAATGAGAGATTGGGAGGAAGAAAATGTGTCCTCTAGGTTTTACTTTGTCAAGTGCTCTTGAATTATCACACAAACTTCTGGCTTTGGTTTCAACATGTATAGAAAAAGCATATTCTCCTATAAAAATGCCAAAATCTCTCCTATGTCTCTTTAATTTGATGATTGAATTCCCAGATGGAGACAGGAAAAAAATAAAAATTTTATGTAAAGTGAGACAACAGTTTTATGAAAGGTAAGTTTAAGAAAGAAGATTGAAAAGAAATAAATAAAAATGTTCTCGTTGATTGTTTTTAGATGGTACACAACAACATTTTGCCCTATGTCTTATTTCCAGTTTTTAAAATAGTGACTTTTTTTTTAAAGATTTATTTTATTTATTTGAAAGACAGAGTTACAGAGAGAGGTAGAGAAAGAGAGAGAGAGAGGTCTTCCATCCGCTGGTTCACTCCCCAGATAGCCACAATGGCCAGAGCTGCGCCGATCCAAAGCCAGGAGCCAGGAGCTTCTTCTGGGTCTCCCACGTGGGTGCAGGGCCCAAGGACTTGGGCCATCCTCCACTGCATTCCCAGGCCACAGCAGAGAGCTGGATTGGAAGAGGAGCAACCAAGACTAGAACTGGTGCCCATATAGGATGCCGGTGACGCAAGTGGAAGATTAACCTAGTGTGCCACAGCGCTGGCCCCTGAGCTGTGTATTTCTACATGAACTAAATATTCACAAATTATATACAAAGATATTTCTAGAAATTTGTGGAAAAATGCAATTAAAAGATAAATTTATGATTGTACAAAAATGAAATGCATGTATTTGTCTTCAAAAAGTTCATGAAAATGAATATTATGAAAATATATTCAAAGATTTCAAAGATTGCACCAAAGAAAAACCTCAACTTATGTTTTAATTCCGTTTTTCCATTAACTTCTTGGATTGTCTTCAATAAGGAGATTATAAGAAAGAAAATTTCAGACATTAAAATATAATAAACATTATTTTTTGCTACCAATAGAATGATTGGCCAATCCTAGAAAAGTTTTGTATATATAAATTCATTATATGTAACTTATATGTTGAAAAACAGAGTGGGATGTATATCATTTTCATACGTTGCAGGTTGTTATGTGGTTCCTTGTTGCCTTCATGCTGCTTCCAGCAAATGACCACTGGCAGTGAACTGTTCAGATAAAAGGGGTTTGTGTTAAGTTAGATATGAAACTGTGGAATTTCCAGCTCCACTTACAAAAAGAATGTTTTAAGAAAAATGCAGTCCGATTCCTTACTTTTTCAGAATAGCTAGTACTTCTTCATTACAAGTATTAGTTTAAAGAAATGCTTTCCAAATGGAGATTCTTTTTCTAAGATTTCTTAATTTATTTGAAAGAGTTATAGAAAGAGAGAGAGAGAGACAGGGAGAGATCTTCCCTCTACCGGTTCACTCACCAAATGACTACGACAACCAGGGTGGACCAGGCTGAAGCCAGGAGCCAGGAGCTTCATCTGTCTCCCATGTAGGTGGCAGGGGCCCAAACAGTTGGGCCATCTTCCACTGCTTTTCCCAGGCACATTAGCCGGGAACTAGATCAGAAGTGGAGCAGCTGGGACACAAACCAGCCCTGAAATGGGATCCCGGTGTCTCAGGAACTGAGAACTTATTATTTTCCTACCCTATTTTAAATCAAATATTTGTATTTTGAAAATAGGAAATGTTATAGCTTCATTAATATATTTTTTCTTAAAATTAAGCATAATGTTTATGCTCTTTAAGTGTCACTTAATTTAAAGCATTGTCTAAGTTTTATGAGGATGGAGACTGTGTCTGCCTTATTTATCTTTGTATCCACAGGGTCCAGCACAAATTCCTGCATATGGTAGGTGTTCCTTCAAAAGTGTTTAAGGAATGAAAAAAAAAATTGTTCATTAGTGGTAGTCACATGGGTTAATAATCAACATGTAACCCCAATTATCATTTCTGCTATTTCCTTCAAAGATTTCAATATCTAGACCTAAGGAACTATATTGAAAATGAAAAAGTGACATGAACGTAGTTGGTTTTAAGAAATCAAAATAATAATCATGTGAATGAAGTTCATTCATTGTGAGGCGCCATTGTTGTCTAAAGAAATGTTTGTGAATAGGATCATGAGGAGGATATGAATTAAAGATAGATCCCATGAATGTTTATGCTAGCTTGATAAGAAGGCCTTATATGTTTATTCTGTGACAATTATGATGAGAAGTTTTAAAATTTGGATTCTTTTTCAAGTTTATTTAAGGACAGTAGTATCAACAAACACAGGAATATAAAGAGACTATCACATAAGAGGTCCAACATGGAGCAATATCCACTGTTAATCACCCAGGTCATCTAGGCATCTGTTCAGCGTCCTGTGGTGCATTCTGTCAGCTGGTCCCAGTGCCCTCTGTCTCATTCATAACAATAGAGCACCTTCAGGCAGGGTGGGAGTGCAGAGGCTGCGTTTTCTAGTCCTGCCTCTTGCTATATACAGCTCACTTGAGCTCTCATTTTTCATTTTTCTTTGAAAAGACATAGAATGCTCTTGCCAACAATTCCTTTTCCAAAACGGATTTGGATGAAAGCTCTAAAGGCCAAAAGTATTAGACAGATTAACTAAGACAAACTCAGTGCACTCTTCTCTCTTAGCAATGCATAGTTTCACTTTTGAATTTACTTATCCTCTATATTCTTACTCATTTGATTTTTTTTGACGTGTTTGGTATAGAAAGCAAATCTGTAGATTATTATATTCTGAATTCTTTAAGGGAAATATGCCATTCCATTCGATTTGAAAATTACCTAAATAACTGTCATATTATCAGTCTGTGTAGCTTAAACTTTAAAATTGTCTTTAATCTTTGAATGGCTCGTTTTCTGTGACATCTCGCGGCTCTGGAATCACATAGGTGCTAACAGCTTTGAATCCTGCTTGTCACAGACCCAGTTATACATGCATCTGACAAACTACTCCGTGAACAAGCATAATGAGCATTTTGAACGGGATGAAACCGAAAACAAAGGCAGCAAACGTTCCATCAAATGGTTTACAGAATTCCTGCAAGCAAATCAACACGACGTTGCTAAGTTTTGGAGTGATATTTCAGTAAGATTATACCATTCCACAATTATAATTATCTTCTCTCAGCATTAATTTAATATACCATCAAGAATTATTTTTTAAAAAGTTTATTTATTTATTTAAAAGTCAGAGTTAGAGAGAGGGAGAGACAGAGAAGGAGAGATCTTCCATTCACTGGTTCACTCCTTAGGTGGCCACAATGGCCAGGATTGGACCAGATAGAAACCAGAGGCCTGGAGTTTCATCCGTGTCTCACATGTAGGTGCAGAGGCCCAAATACTTGGGCCATCTTTTTCTGCTTTTCCCAGGCTATTAGCAGGGAACTGGATCAGAACTGCAGTAGCTGTGACAAAGCCCGGAGGTGGCTTTATCTGTCTCGCCACATCACCAGCCCCATACAGTCAAGCATTTTAAATAAATAACAAGTTACATTAGATCGGGCAAATAAAGGATAAATGAACAACAAATTACATTAGATTGGGCAAATAAAGGACATTTGCATGAAAGAAAATCACCTGTAATAGCTCTTGCTCATTAGAAATTTTACTGCTTGGGATCGGGGAGAGAAGTAATTTTAGCCAGAGGCAAAAGCATCAGTAGAGGAATGGAGGTGTTATGATAAATGAATTATGATAAATGATGCAGGTTGTCACGTGTGTGGCAGATTTGTGAGGACTTAAGGCTGAGAACTTTAGATCTGAAAACAAAAGCTTAGCTTAGTGGGCAGTAGGGGTTCACTCAGTTTTTGATGGAGCAGAGTGATATAATCCAAACTATGTATTTAGAAGATAAATCTGAAAATGGGGATAGGCTATAGTAAAGGCCAGGAGTAGGTAGAGAGGGTATTTGGAAGGCCCTTTGTAAGTATTAAAAGGGAAACAAACTGTCCTGAGTTGAACCATAGTTAGAGGTGACAAGAAGGTGAACATTGGGGTTAACTAAATCTCCAAGATGAGGAAGAAGTTTTTGTAGATCCTTCCTTAAATTTTAAGGAGAAAATATAGGGAGAATCGGTGTGGCATTAGCTGAAATAGAGTAAGAAGCAATTTATTGTAAGAGGATATAGAGCTTTATTTTGATGATAAAGGAAAACATTCCTGCTCATTTGATGATTTGAAGACTTATAAGACATAATTCCAGTCTTCAAAAACTTACATTCTGATAGGAAAAAAGATGATAATATTAATAGAAGGTAGCAAGCACAAGAGAGCCTTGCATTTGGGTCTGTGGGTCTGTGGGGGATGCAGAGGGAAATCACCAAGAGTGGCTTAGAATGGATGAGGTAGGAGGAGGAGCTTCCTGGAGATGCCAGTAACTGAACTGCGGGCTCAAAGTCCATGAATCTTTGAGGGTAAGTTCCCACTTAGGTAAGCTGAATTTGAAATACTATCTCAGGTGGAAAGATCAGTTGGATGGCTAAAAGTGTACATTTAGGATGTAGTTGATAACAAAGCCATGGCAGTGAATGAAACTAAATGATAACGGTACCAAGAAAAAAAAGGAAACAGATGTGAGAAGATAGCCTTTGTCAATCTAAATAAGAAATATGATTATAAAAATGCTGCAATTGTTTATTTATGTATTTAGCCTATCAGACCAATTTTGTGGATACTCCAAAAACTGTAATGATGACAGTTTACTGTCAGAGTGTTCCAGAAGCATCAAAATGGTGAACTTTATTATTTTCGGACAGTACCTCATTGATGGAAGATCACACTTGATACCTGGATGATTTAATGAATGAGTCATTGGATGAATGGCTCAATAAGACAAAGAAAGCTTTATAGACTCTTTGATATTCTGCTTTTGGTGATCAAAATTTTAGCTTCCAGATGAGTTTGATTCTTTGAGAAGACTTTGTAGAAAGGAGGAACATCTTACACTGTGTTGGTGAGGAAGGTACTGAGAGAATCAGAAAAAAATGAGCATCATTAACTTTATTTACAGGATTTGTAAGTGGTACTTTCCTAATGCAATTGAATTAAGAGAAGGTATACTAGCAAGATGCATATTAATAAGAGGGTTTGGAATTTAACTTTCCTATTAGAGACTAATGAGTAATGTACAGAAATGACTCCAACATGGCCAATGTGGGCCTGTTAAGTCTTAACACTGCATGGTTTTGTCTGTAAATAGTAAGTTTAACATCCTTCTTAGAATGCAAATTAATAATCAATTACCAGTTGGTTATAATCAATCATTTTTAACCTTCCCAAATGATTTTATTATAATTATCTCTCTGTGTTTGAGTAATTATGAAAATTTGCTTTCTTCATTGAGAACTGGTATACTTAATATATCAAATTAAGATAAATCAATGGGATAATATATAAAAAAGGAGCTAGAAAATGCAATTATGTAGTGAATTTTTATCTTAATTGCTTAGTTTACAACTTCTATTAATTCAACTTAGGACATTTTCCCAATGACTTCTTCTATGAGGTTAATTTCACTCTAAAAAGTAACCACCTATTTATGAAAACTAATGTTTATCAGTACTCTCTACAAAGAACAAAGCTGTGTGCTTGTCAAGATTGAATAGGAAATCTATAAGAAATCAGACCATGGAGATTAAAAATGAGTGTAAGCACTCAGTGGATTATCCCATCTGAAGCCGTTTTTGGGTCCTTAAGGTACAGACCTACAAAATCATACTTCAGAACAATGACACCATGTTGGAAATCCTTAAAAACAGTGGGATTTTGTTCGGTTATATTATTCCTGATTTTCCCATCTATTTAGAATCCCACCTTTACAGTTTAAAATTGTGTTGTCTTCTATGTAGCAAAAACATGTATTTGTAATATAGGTTCTAAGACTATTAGTATTCCCTGCCTCCACATTGGCTCCTCTGATCAGGTACTTTGTTTGTTCAAGTGGATTCAGTAGCATCGCCAAAGATTTAGGAGATGACCTTTTTTTGCCTTTTATACACTGTGGTGCTACTGTGAATTTATTATCTTAAACACAATTTTTAAAATATATTTTATTTATTTATTTATTTGAGAGGTAGCATTAAAAACAGAGGGAAAGACAGAAAGGCTTTCCATCCACTGGTTCACTCTCCAGATGGCCACAATGGGCCAAAGCTGGGTAGATCTGAAGCCAGGAGCCAGGAGCTTCTTCCAGGTCTCCCATGCAGGTGCAAGGGCCCAAGCACTTGGGCCATCTTCTGCTGCTTTCCCAGGCCATAGCAGAGAGCTAGCTCGATTGGAAGAGGAGCAGGAGGGACATGAGCTGGCATATGGGATGCTGATTCTGCACATGGAGGCTTAGCATACTACACCACAGTGCTGGCCCAGAACACAATTTTTTGAACACAGCTTTCTACAACATCTGTGATACTTATCTCCAAATAGGAACTCAGTTGTGGTTCTGACATCAGTGATATTAGTCTCTATCTTTCCCCCTTTCCCCATATAATAATTATTGCTCCAACCAGGAAGTGGAATATTTGTGCCTGACCTGACACAGAGGTGAAGTTCTGGAAGAATGATAGGATACTATTCTGAAATAGCAGTAATGATAGTGATAGAGTAGCCAACACTTACTGAAGACTTACTCTGTTTAAGGCACTGAAAGAGTTTTGCATGAAGTCTAATTTTGTGCTTATATCAACCTTTTGCAGTTTAGATTTTGGAAAAACAGCTTACAGAGTTTAAGCAACATGATTGAGGTTGCACAGCTACCAAATAAGAAGGCCAGCAAGTAGCAATGCCAAGAGCAAACCCAGAAAGATTGACTTTGAAGCCATGTTCTTTACTGCCCTTCTGTAATGCCAACGCCTGTAGAGGGGATTTATAAAACAGTGTGTTGTAAGCAAATCAAGTGATACAGTTTTTCCACATTCCATATCCTTGTTTTCAAACTTCAGTGGAATAATTATTTAAACATCAGCATGAATAACTCATCCTAGTAGTATTATGTGTATCCTCACAGAAAATGTTACATAGCCACTTCTTTTTAATTAAAAAAAGAAAGGTAAATTTACCTTAAAGGCAGAGAGAGAAACAGAGAGAGGTATTCTCCCATCCATTCGTTCACTCCCCAAATGTCTCAAACAGCTGGGACAAGGCTGGGAACTCAATTCATGTCTTCCCTGGGGTTAGCAGGTTCCCAATTACCTGCTCTGTCACCTGGTGCCTCCAAGGGTGCCTGTTAGCAGGAATGCTGGATTGGGAACAGAGTGAACTCAGGCACCCTGAAATGGCACGTGGGCATCCCAGCTGGTGTCTTAGCTACTCCACCAGATGCCTGCCCCGATAGCCACTTCTTTGATAGGCAGCACTTCCTTCTTGGATAGACCTTATGGACTACAAAATCACCACAGTACAAAGAAGCACAGCTCTCAGAGGCTCTGCCTTTTGAGCTCGTCTTATTGGTGTTTCCATAATGCTGTTTGTGAAATAATTCAATCTACTTGGAATTTGTCTTCTCTATGGAGCTCCTGCCTTACCTGTTTAACAAACAGAAGCCACATTTGTCTATGTTTACTATACTGACCTTGTCTATGGATGTTATTGATCTTCTGCTAAATGCCAAGTTGAAGGCACTGGGAATGGGGTTATGTAAGACAGATAAGGGCCCTGCTTCGAACAAAAAAGAAAACATACCATGTGTAGTGATGCAGTAAGGAATGGTTACTGGTGGTTACTTTGCACATGAGGGGTTGGGGAAGGTCTCTGTGGATATTAAGGAGCCAGACATGAGGACATAGGGGAAAGAGTGTTTCAGGAAGAGGGAGCAACTAGTGCAAAGGAGCGAAGTATGACCCACTTACGGGACCTACAGAAAGCAAGCATGACAGGAGCATCGTGGGTGGGTGGAGGTCAGGGAAAAGAGTTGGGCAAAATGAAGTCAGAACCGTGGCAGGGGCTGGGTGCCATGAAGCCTTGTGTATCTGGTCAGGATGCTCCTTTACGGGACCATGTTATATTTGGACATATGTAAATGAGGCACAAAAAATAAAAGGCGTTTTAATCTGCTCTTTTATCACGATCTTCATAGGAATTGGTGGTAAAGACTCTGATTGTGGCAGAACCTCATGTCCTGCATGCGTATCGAATGTGCAGACCTGGCCAACCTCCAGGAAGTGAGAGTGTCTGCTTTGAAGTCCTGGGATTTGATATTTTGTTGGATAGAAAACTAAAGCCATGGCTTCTGGAGGTAAGGCATTTGTTCAGAGGAAAGAAGTTATCATTGTTCCTTTGTATTAAAGGAGATGCCTTTCAGGGTGTGTGTGATGCTCTTGTCCTATCAGCTGACCAGAATGAAGCCTGAATGGGAGTATGTCGGAGAAAGAAAGGAAATTGAGGGAGGCACGGGCACTCTGTGGTGCAGCGGTTTAAGCCCCCGTTGCAGCACCTGTGTCAGTACCCGAGCACCAGGGCAAGTCCTGGCTATGCTTGATTCCCATCCAGTTTCCTGCGAATGCACCTAGGAAGCAACAGATGATAGCTCGAAGTACTTGACTCTCTACCACCCATGTGGAAGACCCAAGCTGAAGTTCCCAGCTCCTGGCCTTGTCCTGGTTCAGCCCTGGCTGTTGTAGCCATTTGGAGAATAAACCAGCAGATGGAAGAGCTCTCTGTCTCTCCTTCTCTCTCATCACTTTGCCTTTCAAATCATAAGTAAATAAATAAATAAATAAATCTTTTTTTAAAAAAAGCAAAGAGAAAATTCAGGGAATAAATCAGTTCTGAGAATAAATTAATATGTGTTTGATATTATTTTTCCCAAACTAGCATTGAGAGGATTTCTGGGCCAGGAACTTTGAATATATGTGGGGCTCTGCTTTATTTATTGGTTGGTAACCTGGTGTACTATTTCCTCACCTTCATGGTTCTATCATGTAATAAACTCTGGATGTTGTCTTTCCTGCGTGGGGCCTGGGCTTCAGGGTCCTGGCTTCAGTGTATCTCTCCTTAACTCTTAAAAGAAGAGAGGCTGTACTTGGTCCATTAATCAGTATTTGGTGCCTAAAACCCTGGGTGGCATAGGTGCTGCTTGGACACTGTCTTGTGTGCCTGGGTCTCCTTTCATGTCCTTCCTGGCAACTGTGTGCCATTGGGTGTGTTCCCAATCCCTGGTGTGATTAGAATTGTCTTCAGTTTTCTTTGATCATAAAAGGCCATTTAACATTTGGAGAAGATGGAATAATATGTATTAGTCTGTTTTCTGTTGTGTAGTAGGACACCTGGCACTATCCTTTATAAAGAAAACAGTTCTTCATGGTTCTGGAAATTTGAGGTTGAGGAGCCACGTCCAACCAGGGCCTTCTTGCTGATGGAGTTCGGTGCAGGGCATCATGTGTCAGTAAACATGGAGCACGTGTGTGTGTGTATGTGTGTGTGTGTGTGTCTCCTCTGATTTCTCTCTTCTCTTATAATGCCACCCACATGCAGAATAGGGGCTCTGAAAACTCCTGCCTCCCAAAGGACCACACCACAGCTATTCCTCCTACACTTCCTGATCTGGGGTCATAGAATCTCCTCATGGCCACTGAAATACTTTTTAGGAAAACAGCACCCATCTAAACAGTGTTCACTGGATTAGTTACATGTTTAGGAATATACTGCTATATGAGATATAACCCACAGCTGCCTTTCATTTTTAAATTATCTCCCTTTTTGTTCGTGATTCAGAAGTTAAGAGTTGCATCTGTAATATCGAGGTTTGCATAAGTAGACTGAATGACAGGTAGATTAAGATATTCAAAGTATATTTTTTAGGAATGAATTTGAAGGCCAATTTGAGGGTGTGTATGTTCATCTGTTGTGAACAAACAGTGTGTATCGTATTTCTATGGAAATATGTTCCCTCTGTTGGATATTTAAGTGTGCTCCAGTCTGGGTCCTAGAAATAAGGGGTTTTGTTTATCTTTTGCTTCCCCCTGTTTGTGGATATGAAAACACTTGAGCAAGGCCTGATGTTTTCTTTAGATGTACTTCTTTGTCTGCAGTAATCCTTTCCTCTCGTTAGTGGTACTTTTTTTCTTTTTTGTCCCTGCTACTTATCTTTGGTCTTAAATGGGCTGAGAGAGAAGAGCCCAAAGGAATAGCAGGGAACAGCACTGTGTAGGTTACCTTTTAAAAAACTCATTCACCTAACTGGAGTTTTCCATTAAGCTAAGTCAAAATTCACTGATTAGTTGAATTCTGTATTTTATTTTATTTTTTAAAACTCAAAATACTATTATTTGCATTGCTTCTTCATTCCTTATTCCCTCCTTCATCATTTTCAGGTCGGTCAGATCATTTAAAAAAATTCCATAGTAACAAACAGCTGTGGATAATAAATATTCATTATTTTAAAACAATCAAAAGGGTCTTTGTAGTTCTTGTTTTGTATTTATTCTGCCAGCCAAAATTGTAGTGGGGCTTAATATACATCGTTTAAAAAACCTTTTGGCGCCATCAAGTGGAATAATGTAGAAGGTGCATCTAAGAACATGGTACTGGTTTAACTAGAATAATTTCAAGTCAAATTGGTGGTGGTAAAATTGCAGAAATTTTCAAGCAGCGCAGAACATTTTTTTAGGGGGAAAAACATGGAAGTTGAGTGGATTGTGACTATACTAATGCTTTAGGGACCCTTAAATTTAACAAAGTGGTGGGGATGCAAGAAGACAAAATGCTTGCCCTGCTCTGGTGGGGACTCACCTGTGCGTTTTATACAGTTATAAGTAGAAGGAGGGGACATGGATTTAACACAGACACGGGATTGATTTGTCTGTAACCGTGTATGTGTTTGAGAGTTTATTAAAAAAGAAAAGTTTGCAAAAGAAACAGCTGAGAAGAGTTTTCAAGACTGCTGAGAGAGAGAGAGAGAGAGAGAGAGAGAGAGAGAGAGAAGGTGAGGGTGGGCAGAAGGCTGTAGGAAAGAGAGAATTACAGTAATTTAGGAACACAGAATTTGTTATTGATGCTTTAATATGTGCAGGAAATGGTTGTGTTTGTGTTGATAATAAAACTATGTTTTAGAAAATTAATAGTATTCTAATCTAATTTGTTTTCTAATAATTGTTATTGTTGCATGCATTTACAAGCTGCTGGACTTTAATGCTCTAACATCTGCTGGGATTTGTCCATTTCAGAATGAGGGCAGGAAATGAGAAGCAAAGGAACCTCAGCATTACAGAGCAGTTGGCTGGGTAGAGCCCCAGTTCCCACAGTTTCTTCTGTCAGCGCCTTGCAGTTCTTCTTCTAAGTTTTTTCTTCACCTTTCTCATGAAATTTAAAAGCAAACAAAACCCAAGAATAATCGTGAATGATAAAATTGAAAAAAGTTTTCTGCCTTTACACTCTAGTTTATTTTCTGAAGGTACATTTGTTCGTGGGTTTGTTTCTTTTACATTATAGCAGAGAGAAGACAGGAAGGGAGGTATGAAGTTGTTTTAAACGAAGACCTCAATACAGTCCAGGAGGAGGGATATGCCTGACAGAATTCCACCCTGCAAGTTGTCATGGAATTCCTATGGAATTCTGTAAAGATACACAACATTCCAGCGTGCCATTTAGTCCTCAGTTCTTAAATATCTTGTTTAGTTTAGATGAGATCTGGCACATTCAGGGTGGTATGGCTGTAGATTGTCCTGTTTATTTTATAATCTTGTCACACATAGTAACAGAGCTGTCATTCATCTTTCATTATAATTTTCAGAGATTTGCATTTGTATAATTGAAACTTTTTTCATGTAAATTGCTTTGCCCATTCTCTGAACTTGTAGGAAGAAATGTTCAGAGCTTTGAAGTAACAGATTGATAGACTTTCTTTCTTAAATTGATTTGGAATAAACGGATGTTGCAATTCTCAAGCAATTTCTTTCTCCTTGAGACCTTATCACAAAGACATGATGTCCATCACCTTGTAAATCAGAAACCTACAAAGAACTCAAAATACAATATGGGTTATCTCTGTAGAAAGAAAGCCATGCATTCATCAAAATGCTGGCATGATGAAAGTTTCTCATGACACACTGTTAAGAGAAAAACTGGGGTTATAAAATATACTTTTTATAGATGTGTGTGTGTTTTAAGATTTATTTATTTTATTTGCAAGACAGATTTAGAAAGAGAGAGGGAGAGGTAGAGATCTTCCATCTGCTGGTTCATTCCCCAAATGACCACAGTGGCCAGAACTGGGCCAGGCTGAAGCCAGGAGCTTCCTCCTGGTCTCCCACGTTGGGGCAGGATCCCAAGCACATGGGTCACCTTCCGCTGCTTTCCCAAGTGGATCAAAAGAAAGCTGGATCAGAGGTGGAGCAGCAGAACTCAAACAGGTGCCCATATGGGACACTGGTGCCACAGGTGGCGGCTTTACACACTATGTCTTGGTGCTGGCCCTGGATATGTTTTTTAAAGATAAAATGCTATTTTAAAAATGCATGCATAGAAAATATCTGTAGTACTATTTACCAAATGGTCAACAGACTTGAAGGAGTTCCAGGAAAAGATGCCAGACTGGTACATTAATTCCTTCCAGCTGAAATTGCCTGAACAACCTTGTATTGAGAAAGGGCCATTTGGCTTGGCTTCTCCTGCAATGCAGCAAGCTGTAAAGATCCCTCTGTGGGAGGGGTCCTGCCTGTGTGAAGGCCGAGAAATAGCCTTGATCACCGCAGACTGGCAGTCGGGGCTGTGGTGCACCTGAATAAACAGACTGGCAGGAGTAACCCTTATCTTCCACTGTCTCCCCCCGCCCCCCTCCCCAGTCTGTCTCCTCATGACACTCCCAGAGTTTACTGTCCTAGTCCAGAGATCGATTTGTCATGTCACCCCTTCACAGATGTGTTTGTGTGTGTGTAAAAGTATAAAGGCATCATACCTTGATGATTTCTTGGACTTAACACTCTTTTGAATCTCCATGTACATGTGCAGTTCATAAAATTGTGTGCTTTTCTCGTGTTGATCAGCGTTGACTGCATTGGGGTCCTAGATCCAGCCAAAGAGCCGACATAAGAACTAAGGGGACAAAGGGGATAACTCCCCCTCCCCTCACTAGGTATTGGGGTTACAGCTGATCCTTTCTTGTTTATCTTTCTGCAGTGAACCTGTGCCTTGTTTCTTTTTCTTTTTTAAGATTTATTTATTTCAAAGGCAGAGATACAGAAAGAAAGAGAGACAGATATTCTATCTGTTGGTTCATTCCCCAAATGGCCACAACAGCCAGGGCTGAGCCAACCTGAAGCCAGGAGCTTCTTCTGAGACTCCCACGTGGCTGCAGGGGCCCAAACACTTGGGCTATCTTCTGCTGCTTTCCCAGGTGCAGTAGCAGGGAGCTGGATCAGAAGTGGAGTGACCAGGGCTTGAACCGGTGCCCATATGGGATGCCAATGCTGCAGGCAGAGGCTTAACCTTCTACACCACAGCACCCACCCTCCCTGCATTTCTAATTAGAGAAATTGTATTGCTGGATGATTTATTGAGTGTAATGTGGTATTTCCTCAGGGTCTAGTTGTAGAATGCATGCGAGCAGCTGTTTGTCTCTTGTGATGGTTTTGTATAATTATGACTAGTAACTTATATTCTGTTTTTTTTTTTTTTTTTTTTTTTAAGAAAACCTAAGAGGTTGGGGGTTGGTGATCACAAAGCTGAATCTCGGTTTTTGAATTCAGCAGTATTCTTAACAATTGATTTAATTGATTAAGCAATTTTCTTAAGCATCTGATATTGCAGACTTTACATTTTCTTTCCTTTCTTTTTTTTAATATTTATTTATTTCTTTGAAAGGCAGAGTTACAGAGAGGCAGAAAGAGAGAGAGAGAGAGAGAGAGAGAGAGGTCTTTCATCCACTGCTTCACTCCCCAAATGGTCGCAATGGCTGGAGCTGGGCCAATCTGAAGCCAGAAGCCAGGAGCTTCTTCTGGGTCTCCCACTTGAGTACAGGGTCCCAAGAACTTGGGCCATCCTCTACTGCTTTCCTAGGGCATAGCAGAGAGCTGGATGGGAAGTGGAGCAGCCAGGACTTGAACTGGCGCCCTTATGGGATGCCAGCACTGCAGGCAGCAGCTTTTACCCATTACATGACAGCGCCAGCTCCAACAATTACATTTTCATAACAACAATAAAACCCAATATCGGTAAAGACCAAAAAAAAAAAAAAAAACACCTGTAGCTATTGAAGTGGTAGAATATTGTATAGTGGATTTCAGGGTATAAACTGTCGCTTCTTACTTTTCATCTTAACAAAACCTTAGAAATGATGTCAGCAAGCAGAATGGTAGCACATTGCCTACTTATTCCCCTTACAATCCTTGCATAGTTAGAAAACTTCATGGGGTCTGTAGCTGCCCTTAGCAGTCTCTTCTGAAATTATCATTGCTGCCTTTTGAAATGGAGTTTGATGAATTATTGTTTGAGCCAGGTAGCAACAAACTAGCTTTGTTTCTAGGCAGCAATAGATGAACTTATCAGGAGGAGCTGGTTTGGTGCAGAGAGGGCACTGATCACTTCTGTATGGGAAATCTGTGCATGTATAGGATTATTATATATGTCGGTAATGTGAATGCCATCTTCTGTTACTGTGCTCCCAACCTTTCTGTCAGGGTAAACCACTTCTAACTTCCATGACGTGAAAGGGAAGGAGCCAGGTAATGCTGGCCGTGAAGACGCAGGAGTGAGGCAGCCAGGATGGACTGGCGCTCGTAGTCACTCCCTCGTAATTGCTTGACCTGTGGTGATGGGGAATGGAGATGTCCCAATGGTGACGGGGTCATCCACCTTGGGAAGTTTTGAGAGTCATTGTGCAGCCCTGCTGGTTGAAGATCCTCATTAGACTAACAAATATGTGTTGAATATTTACTGAGTTTCCAACATTAGGCTGCTTTCATTGTTTTCTTTGTAAATTTTAGATTAACCGAGCCCCAAGCTTTGGAACTGATCAGAAAATAGACTATGACGTAAAGAGAGGTGTGCTGCTGAACGCTCTGAAGCTGCTAAACATCAGGTAAAGTATTTCCTCCATCTCTTGGAACTTTTTCTCCAATTTGGCAGAGATGAGTCATTTACATGAAATTGGCTTATAACCTTTTATATTTTTTCTCTTTACACTTTGAATTTGTTGATCTGTTCCTTAAACTGATACTATTTTTTTAAATAACAAAATCTTTTCCTTTCTCCCCATATATGGCTCTTCCCTCCTGTGTAATGTTCCACATATGTGGTAAATGCAGTCAGATTATGCCAGTGGTGGTATAGTTATTTAATATCGAGCATGAGGTTGAATTGGAGACGTCAGTTCCTTTAGGAGACCCTCTGGATTGCCTTCCTCATTTTACAAGAAGACCCGAAAGCACAGAGGGGTCATTCAGGAAAAAGAAAGAAATCGCAAACCTGAGTTCTGGCCTTGCTGAGCAGGGATCTCTCTGCTGGATTGAGCTGCCTGCGCAGTGAAGGGCAACGTTCTGACTAGTAGTGCAGACACAGAGGAAACAAGATCTGTGGGCAGACGTAGAAGGAGTGATGGTGGGCTGGTTGCAGTGCACACGATCATGGATTTCAAACATTTGACGTGCTTTTATGTGGGAAAAGCTGAACTCATCTTGAAAGAAGTGTGTCAGGAGTTTTCCTGAACTGCTTCCTAGAACGGTGTGGTGTTTATCGTTTTAAGTGTTCCAAATGAAGTTAGTGTGTTGGATGAAAGGACCTTTGAGGTAGTTTAAGCTCAAGAGATTTATGATTTCAAATATTCCAAATTGTCACTCACAAATTCCTGAAGAATTAGGGGATGCTCCCAAGCAGTTGTTAAAGTATTTCCACATTTAGCAGATACTTGACCGAGAAATAGCCTTGTGTGGAAAGCATCATGAATGCAGGCATTGGAAATGTAAAGCTGTTGATAAATGTTTTTTTTTTTTCAAATAAACTTTAGTGAGTACAAATTTCATAACAACTTTAGGAATATAGTGATTCTTCCCATCATATCCATCCTTTTACCCCCAACTCCTACCCTACCTCCTCCTCCCTCTCCCATTCCAAGTCCCATTTTCCATTAAGAAAAAATAAAAACTGTTCCCCAACAGTCAAGACAAGGGCTGTTCAAGTCATTGCTTCTCAAAGTGTCAATATCACTTCTACAGATTTCCTTTTAGGTGCTCTATTAGTTATTCAGGTCAAGGAGAACATATGGTATTTGTCCTTTTGGGATTGGCTTATTTCATTAAGTGTAATGTTTTTCAGATTCATCCATTTTGTTGCAAATGACTGGATTTATTTATTTATTTAACCACTGTGTAGTATACCATAGAGTAGTACATAGCCCATAATTTCTTTATCCAGTCTTCAGTTGATGGGCATTTAGGTTGATTCCATGTCTTAGCTATTGTGAATTGAGCTGCAATAAACATGGGGGTGCAGATAACTTTTTTAGTTAATATAGCCGCTTCTTTTGTCTGATGAAAGGCTGACTTTTCTAAATTCTATTTTAGTGATCCTAAAAGAAATGAGTAGAAATGAGGGAGGTGTAGAATGAGTAGATTTTGTTTAGCAGATACACATGCATTAAGTATTTTAGATTATTTAAAAAATGTGCCTGTACATTTTTGTGTGTGTGTGAAAGTTTAGTACTATTATTCAAATAAGCTTGTGTTTAGGGTTTTGTTTTTTTTTTTTTTTTGGTTTGTTTTTGGCATGTTTTCTGAATTTGACAATGATGACACCCACTTAGGACATTAACTATGAATGTTTTGGGTCTTTTTAAAAGGTTGTTTAGGAGCTGGCATAGTGGCACAGAGTTAAACTGCTGCTTAAATGCCAGCGTCCCATCTCAGAGTGCTAGTTCAAGTCCTGGCTCCTCTGATTCTGATCTAGCTTCCTACTAATGTGCCTGTGAAGCCAGCAGAAGATGGCCCATGTGCTAAGACCCCTGGCACCCAGTGGAAGACCAGGATAGAGGTCTTGGCTCCTGGCTCCAGCCTAGTCCAGCCCTGGCTGATTGTGGCCATTTGAGGAATGAACCAGCAGTTGAAAGATCACTCTCTGTGTATCGCTCTGCCTTTCAAATAAATCAATGAATAAATCGTAAAAATTTTTATTTAAAAGCTTATGTTAATATGTTACACATTTTTATGCAGTACAGTGAAATATTTCAACACGTATATATAGTATAAACAGATCAAATCAGGAAATTAGTTGGATAATTTTGTTGGAGCCTATGATCTCGTCTCTTCTGGACTTTTTTTTTTTTTTAAGATTTATTTATTTATTTGAAAGGCAGAGAGACAGAAGCAGAGAAAGAAGTCTTCTATTTGCTGGTTCACTCCGCAAATGGCCACGCCAGCCAGAGCTGTGCTGTTCCGAAGCCAGGAGCTTCTTGTGGGTCTCCCACGTGGGTGCAGGGGCCCAAGCACTCGTGCCATCTTCTACTGTTTCCCAGGCCATAGAAAAGAGCTGGATTGGAAGTGGAGCAGCCAGGCAGGTCTCGAACTAGTGCCTATATGGGATGCTGGCACTGCAGGCGGTGGCTTTACCCACTATGCCACAGTGTTGGCCCCTGGACATTTTTAAGAGCCTATGCTAGGGGACCAGTATTGTGGCACAGTGGGTTAAGCTTCTACCAGAGATAGCCACATCCTTATGGGTGTCCTGGCTACTTCACTTCCAATCCAACTCCCTGGTAATGCACCTGAGAAAGTAGTTAAAGATGGGCCCCTGAACCCATGTGAGAGACCTGGATGGAGTTCCAGGCTCCTGGCCTCTACCTGGTCCAGCCCTGGTCATTGCAGCCATTTGGGGAGTGAACCAGTGAGTGAAAGATTCTTTCTCTCTGTCTTTGCACTCTGCCATTCAAACAAATAAATCAATCCCTCACCCACCCCCCCCCCCCGCCAAAAAAAAAGCAGGTGTGTGTGCATCCTATGCTGTACTAGGAGCTAGAGATAGAAAAATACATAAAATTTCCTCTCCTTAAGTGGCTGACTTATTGAAAGGGAAATATATGCTCATATATAAGTACAATAGAATAATAATCACCTAAACCTAGTTTTCTTTCCTTGCTTTGCTGGTTGATGATGAAACTATTTGCATAAAACTCCAGGCTACAAAGCAGAGAGTTCTCCTTAATTCCTTTCTTATTATTCTGAATCAACTGAATCGTGTCAAATTTGTGACTACCACTTAATTGCCTTTTCTCCTTTCCAAGTGTAAGAATTTCTTATCTCTCTCTTGGACTTTTTTTTTTTTTTTTTAAATCAGTTTCCTTCCTGCTTCTGGTATAACTCCCACCCCATTTTGCAGCTTCCACTCTCTTGCTCTGCAAATCATTCAACAACTCCTTGCATTTATTGAGTGCCTACTACTACTGGGGTAGGTATCAGGAATTTAAAGCCTCTACTGCTTCCTTGATTTCTAGCTTGACTATCTTGTTTGCCAATATGCCATTCACTTGGATAAAGATTATAGGCGAGAAATAGGTTTAGAGAAAGGATGGAGGCAGGTAGAAAGAGAAAGAATTTTAAACATGGTTATTTTTAGGTGCTTTGAGACATGAAGGCAGAATTGTTTAGTGGAAAATTGGACATACAGGACCCCAGGAGGTAGTGATATCTCTTTGATTGACATTCATGTGTAAATCACAATAGAATTTAATGAATGAGGTCACAGAGTGTATATTTTGAGAATTAAAGAGGGGCAAGGACAGAGAGAACCCCAAGCATTGCCAACATTTGAAGAGATATTTATAAACTCTGATATTCTGATCAGATTGTTTCTATACTATCAGATAAACTTTAACATCCTTCACATTATATACAAGGCACCTTTTGATATCTGGTGAGTTTCCACTCTTGTTTTTTTTTAAATTTTTGACAGGCAGAGTTAGACAGAGAGAGAGAGAGACAGAGAGAAAGGTCTTCCTTCTGTTGGTTCACCCCCAAAATGGCTGCTACGGCCTGCGCGCTGCACCGATCCGAAGCCAGGAACCAGGTGCTTCCTCCTGGTCTCCCATGTGGGTGCAGGGCCCAAGCACTTGGGCCATCCTCCACTGTCCTCCTGGGCCACAGCAGAGAGCTGGACTGGAAGATGAGCAACCGGGATAGAATCCGGCGCCCCAACCGGGACTAGAACCCGGGGTGCTGGCGCTGTGAGCTGTGGCACTGGCCTCTACTCATTTTTTTAAAATTGTGGTAAAATATACAATTTACCATGTTAGCCATTTAAAAACTTTTTTAATTAAAAATATTTTAAAGATTTATTTTATTGATTTGAAATGTAGAGTTACAGAGAGAGGGAGAGACAGAGAAAGATTGAGGGATATTCCATCTACTAGTTCACTTCCCAAATGGCCTCAAGGGCCAGGAGTGGGCCAGGTCAAAACCAGGAACATAGAACTCCATATAGATCTCCCACATGGGTAGAAGGGGCCCAAGCACTTGGGCCATCTTCTACTGCTTTCTCAGGTGCATTAGCAGGGAGCTGGATTGGAAGTAGAGTAGCCAGGACTCAAACTGGTGTTCACATGGGATGGGATGCCAGCATGGCAGATAGTAGCTTAACCCACTGCACATGACTGTAGCCCCCCCCCCCATTTTAACCATTTTTAAGTGTATAATTCAGCGACATCAAGTTACATGCACATTGTTATGGGACTGTCATCATCGTCCCTTTCCAGAATTCTTTTGATGGTGCAAAACTGCAACAATGTACCTACTAACCACTACACCTCATCCTCCCTTCCCCATTATGGCAGTCACCAATCTTCTGTCTCTGATTTGAGTGTCCTGCTGTCATAGTCCACTTTTCTGCTGGCTGTCAGTGAATCCCACAAACTGGGTAGCTTGCATATAATAAAGATCACGGTTCTGGGGATCCAGATGTGAGAGGACTCTGCATCTGCAGAGGGCCTTCTTGCTGGTGGAGCCTTCTGCAGGATGCTGAGGTAAGGTGGTACAGGCATCATACAGGAAGACAGCGCAAGCCAGCTACCCCAAGTGTGTCTGTCTGTCTCTCTCC